ACATGTTTAGTAAACAGCAGTTCGTTCCGTTCTCACTTGTGGTTGTGCGACATAGCCATTGAAAGTGGAAGATATGAAGAGGTTAGTTGTCTTTGATGCTAAGCATCTGCTTTCTGCCTCCCGTATTGAGTGGTATAATATGGTAAGTAATATTGAAGTTAGGTGTATAGTGCTGGGCAAGGAAGGGAAGTTAATAGATGAGACTGTGAATCCACATCGACTGAGGTAGTTAGGACATGTGTAGCGCATGCCAAGTCATCGCATTGTTAGGTAACGTAGGATCAGGTTGGAAAAGAGTTAGAGGTGATCAAACCAAAACCTGTCTTCAATCCATGAGCGAGGTGTGTAGGTTGCCTAGTGGGGTTCTCTAGGATGCTAGGAGCCAGTAGTTTGGGAATATTGACGGTATGGTCCTAAACCGTTATCAGTGACGCAGATGCATTCACTCTTTGCAATCTTCCATATTACTTAAACCCTGATGTTTTTCCCTACTACTATTCTTTCTCCTTAAAATGTGGGCTTATTATAGTACTTTCGAATCCCTTTCTTTTCTTTCTTATGTCTGGCTACCTTTGTGTTATGAGCTCTATGTCAGTCAGTTGTTTCAGGATCCTAAAGAATTCTTAATGTATCTCTTGATTGCTATGAAACTAGACATTAACTTTTGGGGTCTAGTCGAGAATTCCCTTAATACCTTAATACTATGGGAGGTGTTTCTCTGGAATTCTTTGTTTTATAATTTCAATGTTATGTTAGACAATTATGTATACACATGGGCTTGAGCTGAACTGAATTTTCAACGTAGAATTTTGCACGAAATTGTAACAGTTCAAGTTACCATACATACATATAGAGGTTGGTAAAAGGTCCTATAGATAGATAATGCGTTGTTACTCAACATATATCTCAGTATTGTCTATTGAGTTGGTTTAAATACCAGCTGCTACCCGTCTGTCTGTCTGTCTGTTTTCGACATAGAACTTTGCACCGATGTGCGGCAGTTCAAGTCGCCAAACTCCTTCCTTGTAGCACACAAAACAAGAGAAGAAAGTAGGAGACATGCATAATAGAGACAGTAAACAGAGGTGTCAGACAAAGGAATAGTAATAACGAAGAACAAAACAGTTTCATTGGAAATCATAAGTCACAAGGAGTGGATGCATCTGCGCTAGCCATTGAGAACGATTTTGAGCCATGTCACCAATTGTTTCCAACCATTGGTTTTTACCGTCCCGTAGGTTCTGAATTGTTGATCCCGTAGGTTCATTCAGTTAGTGAAGCATTTCATGGATGTAGCAACCGTCTGTTGTGCCCTGATATTTTCTGTTGACATTGAAGTAAGAATCCACAGTTTGTTAGTGGGTCGGTGGCACAGTGGTTAGGACTCTCGCCGACCATGCACATGGTCCGGGGTTCGATCCCCTGCCGGCGCACACCCGATATCTATGGTCGGCCTGAATTTGGGCTACCGATATCCATGCTGAAAATTCCATACTTGTACTGAAAATACGGTATGGAATCAAGCTGTAAATAAAAATAAAAATAAGTATTTGACGAAATCTACATATTATTAAATTTTCATACTCAGGTTAAACTTGTGTACCAACCGTAGCATAGTTTGATGTTGCCTTAAAACAAAATGATTAGCAGTTAACGAGAAATCTTTGCCAGTATCTAGTAGCAGTATTACCGATTAGTTTCTTTCATCCACTTGATGTTGATTATCATGTTGATTGTCTGTGATCATAAAGTGACTTATCCCATGAATTGAATTGACTTATACAACTTTTAGTTCATCAAATATGTTAGCAGCTTCTAAGTGACATATGTCAGTAATAAATTGGGTAATGGATGTTTTTTGTAGAATGTTAGATTGTTGGAAACGTTGATACAGATTTTTCCCCCTATCAACTGGACCTGTCAGAATTCCTAGGCATATCCATAGTTTTAAATGTCTGTCAGGCTGGAAAAGAGCTAGCGGCGGTCAAACGAAAACATGTCACCAGTCAATGAAATCTACAACAGTTAGTCTTGACCACGTAGGAAGGTGTAGACTGGCTTCCTGACTGGTTGGGGTCCTCGCCTCGGGACGGTAAAACCAATGGTTGGAAACAATTGGTGACATGGTTCAAAATCGTTGTCAGTGGTTGTTGCAGATGCATTCACTCCTTGTGACTTATGATTTCCAATTAAACTGTTTTGTTCTTCGTTATTACTATTCCTTTGTCTCACACCTCTGTTAACTGTCTCTATTATGCATGTCTCCTACTTTCTTCTCTTGTTTTGTGTGCTACAAGGAAGGAGTTTGGCGACTTGAACTGCCGCACATCGGTGCATAGTTATATGTCAAAAACAGACAGACAAATTTGAATTATTCGCACTAGGTTGGAACTTTACTGAATAAAAATAAACAGGACGCAATCTGCTATCATTTTCTCTTCAGTCGCCGAGCTGTAACTGTTCGTATAATGTTACACAGGTCTACTATATTTTTAATCATGCTTGACTTTGTCGTAAGCAGGTTTGTAAACATGTTCTATTTTTTTTTTTTTTTGAAATTAAACAGGTACTTGGACTACATTCAAGTCTAATAGTCTTTGTTGAAAGTATCTGTCGTACGAAAACGCTGTCGTTATCTGGAAAAATTTTATATTATACTCGTTTGGTGGATGTTATTGTACAATGGCCTGAGTTAAAGACTAAATACCCGAGATCTGTTTATCTGGGACTTTTGTCATAGAAAAGTGACCTACTACATATGACCGTGATATTTTGCGTATTTTCTTTTGTATTTCTTTTATATAATGGATTCTTATAATCTATATGTATTTTAATATAAATTCTAGAAAAGAAACAACTGTTTGTGTTTTTTCACACCTTAAAGGCCCTGGTTCGCTATTTCAAGTGTTTACTGTTTTTTCTCTTGAGCATATGTTGATGCTGCTGCGTGATCTGTTTTACATACCGAGTTCACTGCCTTGACCACTGATTAAACTACTTAAACGGAAGATAGCGAGAAGAAATAGAAAAAAAATATTATTGTAAGGACAACTTTTTGGAGAGTGAAAATAAGTAGTTCAGCGAAGAGTCTCTTTTCGGCGGCGAATTCATTTTCATAGCTGTACAATCGCAAATATATATATGGTTGTTTTGTATGTATGCGTGTGTACATAAAATTTGACGAACGAAAATACAATTAGTAAGTTCAGATGAATTGGATGTTGATATTAGCGTGTAGTAACAAAAGTGATGAGTTGTCACAAACGATTGGCGAGAAACACATTCATCAACCTGAAACCAATCTGGAAATCTTTCGCTGTCACTCAACCCAGCCAGCATCAACAACAAAATTCGGATTTTCAATACAAACGTCAAGTCAGTCAGTTCTTCTATACGGATGGATCAGAGAGTTGGCGGCGGGTCACAAAGAATGAGTATTTCCAACAGCCTGTTGCAGACCTTTATCAACAACTAACTGTCTTCGCTGGCTCTATACTGAAGATCAGATGGCCGCCGGAAAGAACAAGAAACAAACAAAACAAGAAGGAATCGCTCAACAAGTAAATATGCAGGAGAAAGTGGAGATGGATTGGACACTCACTGGCTGAGGAGGCCACTCGCTGGGTGACATCGTGCGTCAGGCCAACGCTCGAGTGGAACCCGAAAGGGAAGCGGCGGCGAGTGGGACGTCAGTGCAAGGGTGACATGGAGGAGATCGTGTGAAGAAGAGTTGAAAGAGTATGGACTAACATGGATGCAGGTGAAAATTACAGCAGAAGACAGAAGCAAGTTGAGGTGTGCAGTTGAAGCCCTATGTTCCATTAGGAACTTAAGGGAACAATAATAATAATAATAGTAAGTTAGATTTGATAATAAACTTGTAAGCTATTTGTGAAATACGTGATCCTCAAATTAATAAAGAAGGTACCGACTACTTTATCATTAATGTATCGGTCTTTCATTGATGGATATACTCGTTAACTACACACACACACACACACGGCCTGGGGTTCGATTCCCGGCTGGTTTCCTAAACAAAACTTCGTCTAGTCGTTAGAAAGCTCGGTGTAAAGGGAGAAGGTTGGGCTTGAGACTAACAGCCTGACCCCGTTAAAAAACCCCACTGATGATATTTTAAAGCTCAACCTTGAAGCCCAAATATATTCCACTCAGAGAATGTAAAGGAATGAAGGGAAGATTGTATCATCATCCTCTTAGTGACTTTCAGGTTGCCGCTCACGGGTTATAAAAAGTGTTTCTTGAATACAAATAACAAAATCAGGCGAAATTCGATTCCATAAGTTCGTTAGTTTAAGTGAATTGTTATTATTTTTATTTGGTTGCGTTCTCTCAGCTTTAGTGGTCTTCCTAGACAACAGTTTTAGCGCAAACTTCAATATAAAATGGACTTATTTTTGTGTGTCTACATGAGATATGTCTAGTTTAGATAATTAATTAGGTAATACAAGAATGATTTAATGGAGAAACAAGGTTAATTAGACAGCAACTAAAGGAAGATTGAGTTAGTAAGTTAGTTAGATGACGTAATATAATTAGCTAAAATGTTTCAACTTAGGCCAGGATAGCAACAGAGGTAATTACAGGTAGAGACTAAGTAGAGGTGGGGTAGAGAATAATACTGTTTAAATTAGGACTAAAATTGAGCAAATAAATTGGATGACGTAACGTAAATGACTGGAAACTGAGCATTGGTCAAGTCAGTAACAGTGGTAATGAGGTGTAGAAATTAGATCGTTTGGGGGGGGGGGCAGAGAACAGGGAAGTTGAAAATGTAAAATATTACAGTTGAAAAGACAAAGTAATACTAATGAAGAGACAGAAAGAAATAGAATTTACCTGTCGAGTATTGAGATAGATTGCGTCCATTGCAAGTGTATTGATTGAAAGAACTTCTGTATGCAGAGTTCAGGACTTAGCAAGTGAATTGCCATAGCTTCTGCAGATTGAAGAAGTTTGATTCGAACACTTCTAGGAGGACTGCTTCGTATTCTGTAGAAGACTTTAAAGTTTGTTTGCGTGTAGCTCGGTGTCCGGAATCTATCAGACTTATCATTCTTGTATTACCTAATTAATTATCTAAACTTGATAAAACTCATGTTCACACACACACAAAAATAATTGTATATAAATACGATTGTACAGCTGTGTGAATATAGTGGACTTATGTCTTACAACATATATTCATTCCAATAACCGAATATAAAGGGTACACCGATAGGTCAGCTCATATCATCATCGAAAAATGTCTAAAGTCAAATCAAAATATCTGCAAGAAAGTATTCCCCAAAAACAACACAAAAAAATCATCTTACTGTATATTAAAAATAATCTCTTTAATAGCAGCTAGAATATTAAGACCGTTTGAAATAGATATAGCACACAAGCCAGCACAATCACTTCATTCGATATTAGGAAAACCAAAAGATCAAACAAAAGAGGAAGTAAAAATTAATACCATTTTCAAAATAAATTGTGTGAACTACAATATTTTTGATTTTTTAAATTTTGTTTTAGTATAGCTTGATTCCACACAGTATTTTGGTACCAGTATGAAATTTTCAGTGTGTGATATCGGTAGCCCAAATTTAGCAGGCCGGCCATAAATATCAGGTGTGCGTCGGTGGCCGGGGATCGAACCTCGGACCATGTGCATGATCGGCGAGAGTCCTAACCGCTTTGCCACCGACGCATATTGCATCGGTCAAAGTGGGTGTCCCCTTCGACCTAGAATCCAGGAATATAAATTAGCTGTGATTGCAGCGTAAAGAGGAAAGAAGATGGGATGTTAAAGACTAGTGTTTACAGGAAACCCACACACTCAAACAGATATTTGGACTTCCGATCATCCCATCCTATGTCAGTAAAAATAGGATTGGTGAAATGTCTAAATGACAGAGCACAAAACTAAGTAGTACCAAAGAAAATCTAAAACAGGAAGTGATACACATAAAAGAAGCCTTGAAACTTAATAATTACCCGGATAAATTAGTCAAGAAATATGTAAGGAAATGTGAAAATCAACTAAATAATGATGGTAGCGATAGTGACAATAATAATGATAATGATATTAATAATAGTAGTGATAATAATAATATTAATAACGACACCAACAATAAGGAATCTAAATCACCAGTAGTAATTCCATACAAGGAACGAACCTCGGAAGCCTCACGGCGAAGAATTCGTAACAAGACAGGAATAAAAGCGTCATTCAAACCACCCACAAACTCAATTAGAAACAAGCTTTGTCGGTTAAAGGATCAATCCTGTGGAGCTGTTAAAACAAAACAATTTAGTTTATCTAATACCCTGCCTGCAATGATTGTCAGATAAAATACATAGGTCAAACTAGTAGAACAGGGGCAGTCAGACTAGCCGAACATAAAAACCTAGCAAAATCTAGATTAGTTGACCCGAATCATATAAGAAATCTAGAGAATAGTTCAGCTATTCCACTCACTATATGCAGTTAAACACAACCATACAATAGGATGGGATAGGATGACAGTTTTAAAATCTAATGTCACAGGGTATAGGGAGAGATTGATAACAGAAGCTCTGTCTATCGAATCAACTGCAAATACATGTAATAGGAATGATTCAACACCTGTCCCAGATATCTGGAAAATTCTACTACCCCAACGACGACAAATAGGAGAGGACAAAGAAAACTATAAAACTCAAGTTTCAAAGTCGTGTGATTATAATTGATGATATGATTATGAACAATAATAAATTTTGTTCGAAACTGTGTCATCCGGTAAATAATACTGTTTCACTGACTGTGTGATATACCTAATAGACAAACTAATATGGAATTACTTACTACCACAGTGCCCAAGTTTTACACATATATTAAAAGACACAACGTGTATTCTTTCATATCGATGCAAAAAGATAGTTACGGACACGAATTTCATTGGAAAAATGTAGAAGTTTTAAGTAAAGGAAACACCAGAAATGCCAGGGAATTTCTAGAATTCAGGTATTCAGGTGAATCATTGGTTATCAGAAATATTACTACAGATCAAATTTACCAACTATTAAAAATATAATAAACCATGTGACATGAAAGTTCAAATTCCAAGTCAATAAAAAGGATCAATACTCATGAACATTAAAAACCAACCACGACAAGAGTTGTCAAGAGATACAGTTATATCATTCATGGAAAATTCAAATGAATTCAATCCGTACTGAAACCTGCACTAAAACTATTGTCTAGAAGGATGACGAAAGCTTCGCATTTAGACCAACCAGCTCAGATAACAATACCAAATAAAAAAACTGTTGTTACTGATTTTTTTCCTTCCGAGCAGAATATCGGACTTTAGCGGCATTTCTCCATGGTACTTGTTTGTCTCCCATCACTTTTATAAATGACTCCACGAGATATGGTTCATTTTCTCAGGCACACTGGACTATCCGCCAGTGAATCGCTCTTTCGAGTTCTGTTTCACATACTTTAGCCTTGGAAAATTGGATGGTATCATCAGCTGTCGCATGATAATTGTGGCTCTCTTAGCCTGGCACACGAAATATATGTCACAGGTAGCTAGCTGAGTTCAAGTGATGCAGGCTACACGACTATCTAGTAGCTTTCATCTACTCTTCGCGTGATATTCTTCATGTAACCCCCCTTGAAGCTTAGTTCCTCGCTTTCCAATTTGGGTTCTACTCGAGGATTTACCTCTTGAATATCTCTCCTTGGCATATGTCGAATCCATCTCCATTTTTCTTTCTATATATTTGTTGGGCAATCGATTGTTGTTTGGTTCTATGCAAGAGTTTCTGATTGTTTATCCTTTCCGGTAGGCCGTCTGATATTCACT